GTCTCACCCCTTCGGGAGCAAGGGAGAATGAAGAGAACAGGATACAAGGAAAAGATCAGTCCAAAGGACTTATGGACCACAGCTACCAAGACCTCCACCAGACTGAGTCCAGTACAGCTAGATGGTGCTCGGCTACCACCACTGACTGCTCTGACAGGGATCACAACAGAGGGTTCTGGACAGAGCTGGAGAAGGATGTAGAACAAAATTCTAATACACAAAAAAAGACCAGATTTCCTGGCCCGACAGACACTGGAGAAACCCCGAGAGTACGGCCCCCAGACACCCTCTTAGCTCAGTGAAGTCACTACCGAGGTTCACCATTCAGCTGGGATTGGACAGCCCCATAAAACAAAATGGGACTAATGAGGCACAGCAGTCCAGGGACAAGGACTAGAAGGCAGAAGGGGACAGGAAAGCCGGTGATAGGGAACCCAAGGTTGAGTAAGGACAGTGTTGACATGTAGTGGGGTTGTTAACCATTGTCATAGGGCAGTATGTGTACTAACTGTTTAATGAGAAAATATTTTGTTCTGTAAACCTTCATCTAAAGTGAGAATAGCGGCACAACTGGAAGAATGTAATTGATGTCACTGAATTGTACATTAGAAGTTTTTGAAATGGTGTGTCTTTAGCTATGTATATTTTCACCAAAAAAAAAAAAAAAGTGTCCTGCAAGGTCGAGAAGGGAGAGCGTTGACATGTTGTGGGGTTGTTAACCAATGTCATAGAACAACATGTGTACTGACTGTTTAATGAGAAACTATTTGTTTAATGAGAAACTATTTGTTCTGTAAACTTTCACCTAAAGTACAAGTAAAAAAACATTTTTTTTTTTAAAAAAAAACATGGGCTTTGGAATCCAGCCAGCCACCAGGGTTCAAAGCCCAACTCAACCATTTGCCAGCTAAGGGACATTGGTAGGGATACTTTTCATCTCTGTGTCTCGGTTTCCCTCATCTGTAAAATAAAGATGGTAATATTATTTCCTAGCTCATAGAGTTTTTGTGACTCAATTCATATACAGTGCTTAGGACAGTACCTAGCATATAGTCATTGTTCAATAAACGTTGGTTATTATTTGGGTTGATTATTATTATTGGCATAATAGTCACCCCAATAATAACCAACATTTATTGAGCTCTAGTGGCGCAGTGGTTAAGAGCTCAGCTGCTAACCAAAAGGTTAGCAGTTCAAATCTACCAGCTGCTCGTTGGAAACCCTGTAGGGCAGTTCTACTCTGCCCTATAGGGTCACTGTGAGTCTGATTTGACTCAGGGGTAAAGGGTCATCATCATCATCATAATTATCATCACCGTTGTTGTTATTATCATTATAATGAATTCTAGATCCCTAGCTTAGGTGACCAGTTAGGAATAGAGGAAATGTAAAATGATTGGAAGCATTCTCCAGGACTGAGAGTCAGAGAAGAAAAAGAAAACGAAGTGGAGTTCACAAGCCTGATTACTGTGGCTAACCAATGAACTGCATGGGGGAGGGAAGGAAGCAGTGCTGAGTAGAACTGCCTGCAAGTTAGTCTCCGATAGGGTTTGAAGGAACTTGCATGAATATCTATATTTTGGACCAGAGGAACACTGGCTGAGTCTTTTTCCTTTTTTTAAATTTATGTTTAACAATTTAGATTTAATCGCATACATAATTTAATTATATGAATTTATTAATAGAAATAAAATATAAATAAACATATAATTAAAATTAAGTACAGAAATTATATAAGATTTAATTATGTGTACATATAAATATTTAATACATCATATCATGTATATATTAGTTTACTCTCATTGTAATGAACCCAAACATCAAGCAAAAGCAAAGGTCCCCCTGAGCAAACACAGCTTCAATTCCTTCCCCAGATCCCTTACTCCTCTTTTGCAAATATATGCAACCCTACGTTGAATCCCTAACTTGCGAGATGTGATCAAAATGCAGCTTTATTATTGTTTTCTACCATCTCTTTGGATTCCTAGGTGGTGCAAATGACTAAGCATTCAACTACTACCCAAAAGGGCGGTAGTTCAAACATACCCAGAGGTGCCTTAGAAGAAAGGCCTGGCCATCTGCTTCCAAAAGGTCACAGCCTTGAAAACTATATGGGGCAGTTCTACTCAGCACACATGGGTCACTATGAGTCAGAACTGACTAGACAGCAACTGATTTGGTGGATTTTTTTTTTTTTTATACCATCTCTTTAAAATTTACTCATTTGTAGTAATCTCATCACAACCCTAGAGGGAAATTCTGGCAAACCCATGACTTTCCAGCTCACTCTTAGTTAATTCAGAAATTTAAATATCCATTCCAACAGGTGAACTCAAACTCCAGATTTGATTGGCACTCAGATCTTCTCTGCCCCAGCTAGGGCCTGCTTCCCTTCTTGCCTTTGTGCTCCTTATCCTCCACTCAGCCTGCTAGTCAGTTTCTGACCTTTGAGAGGGGGCTGTGAGAAGAGAGGAGAAAGAGGAAGGTAGGAATGGTCTTGAACTGTGCAGCACTAGAGCCATTCTCTGGCCTGGTAGATATTGGAAGGTGTTTCATGTAGACCACACTTTGGCATCTTCAGAGGCCGCCTGCTGGAATCCCCAACTATGACTCCCATGAGGTGCAGCGCCCAATCACCGCTCAGTTTCTATGCCATCCACTCTTGCTGTGGGGGCTTTCTCACTCTCAGGCAGAAGACCCCTCAAGCAGAACTCAAAATGGATCCAGAATCTCTCTCTCTCTCTCTTTTACATGGCCTGTCTCTGGTATAGAGGAATCACTCCCACACCATCGCTCCAGCAAAATCTGAGAGCGCAGGTGGATCCCAACATGGCCACCTCCACTCTGCTGCCACAGGTAACTCTAGTGTTTTCAGGCATCAGTCCTTTGTGTCTCCCAACAACAGGGACCACATTTCAAGCTCTCAGAGTGGTCCCAGCTTCAGAGAACTAGTTACTGTAGAGTCGGTTCCGACTCATGGCAACCCCGTGTGAGTCAGAGTAGAATTGTACTCCATAGGGTTTTCTATGACTGGTTTTTTGGAAGTAGATTGCCAGGCCTTTCTTCTGAGGTGCCTCTGAGAGGACTGGAACCTCCAACCTTTCGGTTATCAGACAAGCACTGTAACCGTTTGCACCACTCAGGGTCTCCCAGCTTGAATGAAGGAGGTAATAATTGCCCCAAGTGACTCACAAGCACCTCAACATCATTCTCAAAAAAAAAAAAAAAAAAAAAATTCACATTGTCAATTTCTCCCGTTCCCCTCCCTTATCCTGTTTAATATCATGTGACTAAGGAGGTCAAGGGCTGGCCCAGGCACTGTTTTGTAATCATTTCCTATGTATATTCTGCATAACTGGATCTGGCTTTCGAATTTACCATCTATTATAACATGATCTTTCAATCTTGAATTCAGTTTTAACATTCTTCTACCCACATGCATCTAACTTTCTTTTGTATGCTTTACTTTTTTTACATAAATGTGGCAACGTATACCTATTGTTTTGCACCTTCCATTTTCTTCTTCTAAACTTGTGTCTTAGGGACTCATCAGTAAGTACTTATGGTTTCATTCATTCATTACCGTCTTGATATTAGACAAGGTCCCTAGGTGTTGCAAATAGTTTGTGCTCAGCTACTAACCTAAAGGTTGGCAGTTTCAACCCATTCAGCGGTACCCAAGAAGAAAGGCCTGGCTATCTGCTTCTGTTAAGATTACTTCCAAGAAAATCCTATGGAGCAGTTCTATTCTCTAACACGTGGGTTCGCCATGAGTCCTAATCAACTGGAGGGCAATGGGTTTATTGTTGTTTTTAAATATATATCAGACACAATCAAGTGGCCCCAATTCTTTACTCTGGCAGTAAGAAAAGATACACAAACTCTTCCAGCAAGCCAAATTTGACCCCTAGACTTGTTTAGTTTGGTGGACACTGTTTTTGTTTTTGTTTTTAATGCCATTTGAATGCTTTTGCATTGCCCCCTTGCGCCACAATTTGTTAACCTTCCTTGAATCATGAAGTGTAATTTGACTTCTCATACAGCTCTCATACAGCTCCCACCCATCATTCTATTTCTTTCCCTATCAAATCACTTCCCTAGGAAATATAAAATCGTTTAGGGGCAGAAGCGCAGTCGTTTTGGTGTTCTTCCCCTCCCCTCACCAAGAGCTCCTAACCAGACATAATCCTTTTTTCTCAGAAAAAAGAAAGCATGAGCTTATTTGATCATCTTTGCCGCTTTTTGCACCTCCAACCCTCAGAGGGCGATAAAACCCCAGACCGCACATTGGCAGTCAATGAAGGCCGCTCCCGACGCGCACGTCTTTACGTAGACGTTGGGGGCGGAGGCGTGCTGTGCGCGATGACTGGCGGCGGCGCTGGCGGTTGCTGGAGACGTAATAGTGCGGGTCGCGGACTTGGAGAACTTCCGAGGTGGTGGTGGCGCCGGCTAAGACGACGACAGCAGGAGCGGATCCTGGGCTTGTCGCTCACCATGCCGACGGTGGAGGAGCTTTACCGCAACTATGGCATCTTAGCTGATGCCACGGAGCAAGTTGGCCAGGTGAGTTCCTGAGCGGCCTGCAGGGCCCGGCGCTTCGCGGTCTCTCGACAGCGCTCCCCGCAGTGCTCCCGGGCCGGGCCGGGGCTGCTGCTTCGCCCTGCCGCGGGCTTCCAGCCGTCCTTGGCTGTCTGGTCCGGTTGGACCCGCCTCTGGTAATGTAGGTACTAGTTTACCCTGGGAAAGTGTGGCTTCTCGGGTCCCAGGCTTCTCTGCCTCCCCTGGGATCAGCCTTTTCTCACTGTGGCGTTTCCTAACTCAGCCGCTTCAGGCCCCCGTTAATTCTCTTCCCGAGTCTTGGCCTCTAGGTTTCCCTTGAGTCTCTCTCCCTCTTTCCATGGTCCGCACTCCCACGAAGACTAGATTGAGAGTTCTTCCCAAGAGGGCTAAATTTTTTTGTCGAGGCAAGAATTTGCGGTTAATTTTGTAAGAGTGCTTAGAAAACAGAAGTTCGTGATAAATCGAAAAGAGATTTTATTGAGGGTCCACGAATTTATTTATTCAATACATTATTTTAGCGCCTACCATGTACCAGGCACTGTGCGGGGAGCTGTAGGTACAAGATAGAAATATCCGTGCACTCCCGTAATGTACAATTAGCGAGCGAGAACAGTGATAAATAAGAAAGATGTTTGTTTTTCCAGTGAGGAGTGTAAAATAGGGCCGTGCAATGGAACGTGGGGGGAGTGCAGTTTTAAATAGAATTGTCTGGGAAGAGCGTTTTGCTGTGTTTGTCCCAGACACAGTTTAGCAATGTTGAATTGTCCATAAAACCGATCGCTTTTTGTGGTTATCAAGTACTGGAGTACACTGAACGTGAGGAGTTAATAAGTGATTGGATATGTGTATGTGTTCTTGGGAAAAGAACCAGGCTCTCCCTGAGGTAAACTTAATCATCGTTAAAGAAATCCTACGCCATACCTTTCAGTGCTTAGAACTTTGTGGTTTTTCTGCTTACCCATCTCTGGCATTAGAAAGTCAAAGATCTTAGAATTAAATTAATAACGTTAACAAAGCAATGGCAGTACCCCTCCCATGCCCTTTTTTGGACATGTATAATTTTGAGTAGAGCTTTTCTGAGCTGGAAAAACATTTTTTTTCTTTTTCTTTTTTTTTTTTTACGTTGAGGTCTTATTTAGCTTAATCCAGAATTGTGAATATTGACTGTTTCAAGTATCAGGTGGTTTTTCTTCCCTGCATATTTCCATTTTCGATAGGGAATTTTGCCATTATCAAAGAGAAATACATACTGACAGTCTGTTGTAGATGTGTTTCTGGTGTGTGTTAGGTCCACTGTGAAGGAGAGATTGCCTGTCCCTTAAGGCCAGATGGGAAAGCTATGGTCAGTCATAGTTTGTTTTTGTTGTTGTTCCGAGAAAGAACTAGTAGTGAAGATGTTCTCTATTATTTATAATTTGTAACTGAGTTAAGGAAGATTGTCACAAGTTGTTCAGCCTAAATTTGACTTTGTTGTACGTCAGCTGAGAGGGTTGGGTTAGGAGCTAGACCAGTGGTTATCAATCAGTTTGAAGATGGTGTATTCTTCTTGTGATTATGAGGTAATGGAATACATTGAATGTGAGGACTTGGTAAGTTTTTGGTTGTCTGTGTATATGTGTTCTTGGGAAAAGAGTCAGGCTCTCCCTGAGGTAAACTTAATCATTAAGAAATCCCATGCCATATTTTTTATGATACTGTGAAAAATACCATATCCAAGGATGTGTATCAGGAAACTTTTAGGGAAGCTTTTTTTTTCTCCTCCTCATGCCCCCACAGCTTCTTTAAAAAAAAAAATTATGATAATATACACAACAAAACATATGCCATTGGGAAGGTTTTTGAAACTGTACACATAGTGCTTGCTGTCCCATTCCCCCTCCCCATTCTACTGCTGGAGTAGAGAAAAAGATTGGCAGCCACCTACTTAGAGTGTGTTAGGGCAACTGGAAGCCAAACTGGAATTTATATGTGGCGCAGTGGTTAAGAGCTCAGCTGCAAACCAAAAGGTCAGCAGTTTGAATTCACCAGCTGCTCCTTGGAAACCCTATGGGGCAGTTCTATTCTGTCCTATACAGTTACCATGAGTCAGAATTGAGTTGACAGCAACGGATTTTTTATAGAATAATTGAGAGTTGCTCATAGTGTCTTCTTATGTTACCTTTAAATATAAAAACCATTATTAAAGAATTTAACATGATTCCCAGTAGGTGATGGGCAATCAGTGCCTTCATGACACTGTAATGACAGATCACTATTGAAGACAAATATCTCTACATAGTGAAGTGTAGTGATTTGCTCAGGCACAATGAATTCTTGGAGAACTGAAGCTGGATTAAACCATAATGCCTACATACTCTGTTCTGTTATGTAATACATTGTCTCTTTTAGAGAAAATGGCCTAAAACTGCACCCTAACAAGATTGTGGGTTTCAGGATGTTTCTGTGAATTTTAACTAACAAAGGCCAGAACCAATTTAATGGAGGGGACGCCATGTCACATTTTTTTAAGGAGAAAAACTGTTTACATTCTTGGTGTAGCAGAGCCTGATTTTCATATCAACTTATGAGATTTACAGTCAAGATTTAAGTTTCTTGGTCATGTATCTGGAGCCCTGGTGGCGCAGTGGTTAAGCATTGGGCTGCTAACCAAAACGTTGGCAGTTCGAATCCACCAGCCACTCCTTGGAAACCCTGTAGCCAGTTCTACTCTGTCCTGTAGGGTCACTGTGAGTCAGAATCGACTCAACAGCAACGGGTTTGGTTTGGTTTTGGCACTGTTCGTATTCATTAATAGTACTTCAGGTTTGTATTTTATTTCCTTTGACGACTTTTCTCATTCCCTTACTTGATTACAAAGTCTTGAGAATAAGGGTTAAGCTTTTTTTTTCTCTTTGAACTGTACCTTGCCCTTTAGTAGACATTTCTTTTTTGAAGTTAAAGAAATACATACAAAGAAGGAATAGACATACATATTTAAAAAATTGTTAACAAGGATAATCTCTGATGGATAAAGAAGAGAACTTTTACATATATATGGTTTTGTTTTTTTTTTTTTAACTATAAGGATGTATTTTCTGAAGGCAAGCTATAGATGATAAACTCAAAGTGAAGCATTACTTTAACACCTCAGACGCTTCCAGTCCCTCTGTTATCTTTCCACTTGTAGCTCCCATGTTCCACTTACTCATTCAGCTTTCCTTTCTCCCACTCTGCCTCTGCTACTCCTCCGGGTCTTCCTCTTCTGTTGTGTGTTCCTTTAGCTCTCTAACCCCCTTTCCCACCACAGTACTCGAGGCTCCTGAATAACCAAACTAGAGGAAGGTGTGGTCTGCCATTATTTTAAATTTTGTTTCATAGTTTTCTGAATTTACTTGATTTCTGAATGTAGATGCTTAATTTTATATTAAAAAAACCACCAAGCCCTGTTCAGGGACTGTAGCAGTTAGGCTGATCTAAGATTGGGTCTGTGTAACGCTTAACTCTGATTTCTTCTGTTCATTGTTTAGTACACTGGCTCTTCAAAGTGGAAGCGAATGGGCTTCAGTGGTTTATGTTCTGTGAAATAACCACTCTGTTAGTAGCTTTTTTGTGTGATTAAACTAGAATCATACACCAACCAAGTTCATAACCCTTCAAAAGTATGTGGAAGAATTAACAACCTACTTTAGTATCAAATACAAATTAGATTTATTGAGTCTGAGGAATAAAGTAGTAATATGCCTTAACTCATACAGTAGTATGTATAGTCTCTCTTACCCATTTTCTTTTTATCTGATACTTGAGAAATGCGTTTACTGAAACCACATCCTTCTCTAAAATAATGCTTTATTTCTTGGAGGCTGCATTCTAGGCCCAAATATGGCTTTACCTCACCACTAATGCATATTCATTGTATTTTGACAATTACTACCAGGAATTTTTGCTTTTAAAATATACCTGATGAATAAGGATCAAATTATAGCTGACTTTTCACAGTGAGATACCATCTTAAACCCCTATTAGAATGGCAATGATCAAAAACACAGAAAACAATAGGTGTTGGCGACATTGTGGAGAATAGGAGCCTCAGCCATTGCTGGTGGGAATGTAAAATGCTACAGTCACTGTTGAAAACAGTTTGGTGGTTCCTCAAAAAATTGAACATGTAACTACCATATAACCCGGCTGTTCTACTCTTAGGTATATGTCCAAGAGACTTGAAAGCAGCAACATGAACAGACATATGTACACCAGTATTCACTGCAGCACTTTTCATGATAGTGAAAAGGTGGAAGCAACCAAAATGTCCATCAGCAGATGAACGGATAAACAAAATGTGGCCTATATATATATATAGTGGAATATTATTCAGCCAGAAAGAGAAATGTAGTCCTGATACATGCCACAACATGGATGAACCTTCAAAACATTATGCGGAGCAAAGTTAGTCAGTCATAGAAGGACAAATACTATGTGATCTTACTTATATGAAATAAGCACATATATGGAAACCAAAAATTATTAGTGGTCACCAGGGGTGGGAGGGAGGGGAAAGGGAGAGTTTTTGCTTAGTGGACAGTAAGTTTATGTTAATGGTAGTAGAATAATTTGGAAATGAGAATGGTTGCACAACTGGAATGTATTCAGTGTCACTAAGTTATATATGTAGTAATTGTTGAATTGCTGTATGTTTTGTTGTGTGTACTTTCACCACAATTAAAAAATGTTGCTGACTTTTTACTTGAAAGTGTCTTAGGGATTTCTTTAGAATTCTTTTTTAATCAGATATTAAAGCACACAAATATACATAATTTTTAGAAATGCAGTAAAAGTATTCACAATTAAAGCTTCTTGTCAGGATCACAAATTTATTCGTCTAAAATGTACAGTTGTGTTGAAAGGAAAAATAAGCAGTGCTCTGTACTATTTGGAATATTTTATTGTGATTACAGTCCCACCTGTCATTGAATCATTGTGATCACTGAAAATACCTCTTCTACCTTGCTTCCTACTGTGAAAAGCAG